TGTTCTGTCTTTCTCTCTCTCCAAAATAAACATTAAAAAAATTTTTTTTAATTATGTTTAAATTAATATGAAAACTTATTGAAAACAGAAAAAGGGTAACCTGCAGGGTTTCAAAGCAGTCACAGATTGGGTACTCAGTAAAGCCTGCCTGCTTGCTCTTTTTCTCTTTTTTCTTTTTCCTTCCTTCTGCCCTCCCTTCTTTCATCTCCTTTTAACAAAAATGTTGTTTTTAGGTGTTGTTTGAGGTGTTAGTAGGCTTGGATCCCAGGACCTTTCCAACATAATAACAGAAGCACTTTGCACTCCCCTAGAGCTTCCTCTTTTTCTTTTCTGAGACAAGAGCTTCTGTTATTGTCATTTCCATGTGACAGAGGGGAAATTGGGGTTGGGGCCTCAAGCGACCTGACCCTAGGTCTCAAAAAGAAATAGTGGCAGTTTGGGACTCTGGTCTAGGGCTCTTTTATGAGTTTAGATATCTCGCTCACTGACACCTACCCCAATGGCAACAGTAGCTGTAAATTACAGTCCACTGAGGAGCTTTAAAAAACATGCCAAAGGTCACTTGTCACACCAGTTAGCATAGTAGGTAAAACAATTGACTTAGGAGCCAGATTCTGAGTTTGAATTACGCCTTTACTACTTAGTAGCTGTGTGACCTTGGCTAGGTACTTAACTTCTCTGTGCCTCAGTTTTCCCTCTTGTAAAGTGGGGATAATAACACCATGTTCTCTGTAGGATTGTTCTAAGGATTCAGTGAATGAGGCACTTAGAACAGGGTCTGACATACAGTAATCGCTATTTTATTTATTAAAGAATTTTTTAAATGTTTTATTTATTTTTGAGACAGAGACAGAGCATGAGCAGGGCAGGGGCAGAGAAAGAGGGAGACACAGAATCCAAAGCAGGCTCAAGGCTCTGAGCTGTCAGCACAGAGCCCCACACAGGGCTCGAACCCACAAACTGTGAGATCATGACCTGAGCTGAAGTTGGACGCTTAACCGACTGAGCCACCCAGGTGCACCCCGGTAGTCGCTAGGAAAAAAAAAAATGTTTATTTATTTTGAAGGAGAGAGAGAGAGAGAGAGAGAGAGTGTGTGTGTGTGTGTGTGTGTGTGTGTGTGTGTGTGTGCACGAGCAGGGGAGGGACAGAGAGAGAGAATCCCAGGTAGGACCTGAGCCTTCGGCGCAAAACCTGACCCAGAACCTGATGCAGGCTCCATCACCCCATTGAGATCATGACCTGAGCCGAAATGGAGTCAGATGCTTAATGAACTGAGCCAGCCAGGTGCCCCTGCTATTTAAAGTCCTATACCAGAGCAAGCACTTTGCTTCTTAAATAAACCAATAAAATTGAATGTGGGGATCGTCTTGCACAAGTGCTCCTCCACCCTGGGATTCTAATGTACAGCCCGGATTTTCAAACTGTGAACGTAGTGCCTCTTGGAATTCCGCCCCTTGAAAAGTTAACTTTAACCAATGGGTGAGGAACTTTTTTTTTCTCTCTCTGCAGATGATGAGCCCAGAAACCTGTTACCTGCATCTGCAGGGACCAATGGGCGGAGGAAATTGGGGGAGAAAGAACACTCTCCACACCCTCTGGGAATTGTAGTTCCCCATGGGGCCTGTAGGCGCTCAGTGGCCAGCTAGGAACTACAACGTCCATAATGCTGCGCGCAGAGCGTCTTTACCTCTTTCCCGCGACTCTCGCTCGGCTTTCCAGTACCGCCTCTTGGCGGCGGCAGCAGAGGCACCATGGCCGACGACGGCCGCCCTGCCGAGGCGCCCAGCCCACGGGGCTCCCCGGGTCGGGCGCCGCGGGTCCCGCGCGCGGTCGGGCCGGGAAGCGGGGCCAGCTGCGGGGAGACCCCTAGGACGCCGGCGCTGGCGCTGCGCTTCGACAAGCCCATCAAGCAGGCCTTCTACAATACGGGGGCCGTGCTGTTCGTGTGCCTGTGCTGCGGCGCCGCCGTGCTCGTCTACTTCATCCTGGAGGCCTTCCTGCGGCCACTGCTGTGGGCCGTGCTGTGCGGCACCTTCCTGCACCCCTTCAAGAGCTCGCTGACGCGCCTGGGCCGCCACTGGCTGCAGCGCCTGCACCGCGCGCACACGCCCATCGTGCTGGCCGCGCTGCTGCTGCCGCTCTGCTTCGCGGACTACGGCGTTGAGGCCCTGGGCGAGCAGGCTCTGCGCCGCCGCCGCCTACTGCTGCTGCTGGGCGCCGGCGGCCCGCTCCTCTACGGCCTCTACTGCCTCGGCAGCTACCTGGGCGTGCAGGTGCTGCTGGCGCACGCCGGCGCGCTCATCTGCCGCGGGCTGGACTACTTCAGCAGCCTGTGGGTGAGTGAGCGGCCGGCCACTCGGACACGGTCCGTGGGCCCAGGGCACCCCTCAACACACACCCGGCTCCCGAGGGTGCCATCCTGCAGCTCCTCCTCACTGTGCAGGGACCATCAGAAGTCTCCGCCCTCCTTCCCCTGCACCTAAGGAACTTGGCCCACTTCCTTCCAAAGAGAGGGCGGGTGTGGTTTGAAACAGCTGTCCTGTCCCCGCCCCCATCTTAATACTCTAAGGTGGTTGTGTCCCTAGTTTGGGAATCGCAGTTCCGCTTTTCAGGTTGACTTGAGCATGGGCAGGTGGACTTGAATTTACCCCTGGGCAGCGTGCGGGGCGGCGGGGGTGGGGTCCGACCATCTTTAGTTCTCACGGGAGACTTTTCTGGATATCAGCTGGAAGGGACCTTAGAGATCCCAGTCCAGCTTGTCATCCTGCAGATGGGAGAAGTGACTACTTACCAGGCTAGGGCTAGTTAGGGACAAAGAAGGGACGGATTGACTCAAGTTTCTCAAGTCATAAGACGAAGTTTGCTTCAAAGGCCGTTGCTGCTTCTGAGTTCAGGAGCTTTCCAGTATACTTGGTGTGAGGCACCTGGGCCTGCTCCCACGCCACACTCGACTTCTTGGGAACCACTTGTGGAGGGACTGCTGTACCAGAGTACCTTGCCTCCCGCCTGGATTACTTAAGCAGACTGAGTAAAGAAGAGGTAGATTTGTTTCTTGGATCGCCCTGCGCTTATTCATAGAAAATTTGGGAGCTTTAGAATTGGAAAGGATTTCAAAGATAATCTAGTGGCACATTTCCTAACTCAGACTAGATTCTAGACCAGTTAATCCCCCAACTATTTAACTGAGGGCTATTCAAAACAGGTGAATATTTAATGCATGAGAATGCTAATTCGTCAATAAACAGTACCATTTAAAAATAATTTTCTTTGCTTTTGTCAGTGTTCAGTGCACCTTGACATCAAGTTGCAAAATGATACCCCTTATGTGTGAGTTTTGAGTTGCTAAGGTTATTGGTGGAGTGATAATTGATTCCAGAACTCCTGTATTCTCTTGTTCTGTCACTACCACCTCTCAGTTTCCATTAAAAGGGGATTGAACGTGTTGATGGATGCTAGGGTATGTAGGGGTTTAAAAGGAGTAAGATGCAGGCTTTGTCTTCAAGGTCATGGAATCATACGTGAACATGTTCTCATGGAGATGGCAGACAAACACGTCATTACCAACCCATTATGGGCCAGCGAGATATTGGGGAGCACCTCATCCATAATTTTGGGATGCTGTCTGTGTGTGCAACTGCTAAGTGATCAGACCAGCTTTGGCCTCCAAGTGGCCTGGGCTACTTCAGTTGTAGAAAAGAGGGATGTGGAATGACCTTTGAACTCCTGGGGCTTGCTGGATTGTCAGGTGGGAGTGATCCTGGAGTTTTTTTTTACTGTCAGATGCCTGCCACTTCTCAGGAGAGGCTTCTGAGGCACAGAGAATGTGATCGTCCCAAAGTCACATAACTTGTGAAGAAATCCAGAGTATGCTTCATCTCCTTTACCCTGTTATTTATACTTTCCGTGCTATTTCTTGTTTCACAGTTCAGTTGACTGCCTCATATAAGACTGAATACTGTATGCTGTTAAGAAATATAAATACTGTGACCTGATTTCTACCCTCAAGAAATTCAGTCTTGTCAAAGGCAGATGCATGTACAGTTTCTTCTGACATTTTGACTGTTGATACTGCAATTTAGTGTAAATTACTGTTGGCAAGACCACATAGCATATCCACGAAACTATAGGAAATTGGAAAGTAAAAGATCTAACGTATAAATAACGTAATGTCATACTATACTAAGAAGTTGAATATATGGATAAATTGGCAAGATTAGTGGAATTTCTGGAATAACGGCATTTCTGCCAGTTACTCCCAGTGAAAAATGAGATGAGGAATTGAGTACCAGTGAAGAAGTGCCTGTAGCTGAATGTATGTAGTTCTGAATATCTTTTTTTACAGAGGAGAAACCCTCATTTTTGTACTTTACTCGAATACCCTTGTATGACTTGTGAATGAATGGAAGAGGAGTAAGGGCCAATATTAATTTGGCTAGAAGGCGGGAGGAAGGTCTAGCCAATTAATGATTTTTGTTGTTTATTTATTTTGAGAGAGAGGGAGAGAGAGAGCGCTCAGGGGGAGGGGCAGATAGAAAAGCAGAGAGAATCCTAAGAGGCACCTTGTTGTCAGCACAGAGCCCGGCCCTGGAGCTGTGTCTCATGAGCCATGAGAGCAAGACCTGAGCCGACATCAAGAGTTGATGTTTAACCCACTGAGCCACCCAGGCGCCCCCGATTAGTGATTTTTAAAAGGCTTGCAAGAGCTGTTTGGCTACAGTGATGGGGGCACAGGAAAAGAGTGGAGGAAAACAAAACTATTGTAAAAGAGAGTATGAGTTAACTAGAAGTGCATAGGAATGGTAGAGGGGCTTAAATCGAACCAGTGGGTCCCCTAGGTTGATCTGAATTTGGGAGAAACAAGGCTTGAAGTTGTGGTTTCTTGCAGCAACCCTTAGGGGTGGGCGGGTAGATGGGGGAGAGGTGTACTTGGGAGGCAGAGACAGGGAGTCCTCAGCTCTCCGCCAAAAGGGCAGATTAAGGCCTGACCTGAAGTGAAGGAACGTCGTGTGACTGGGCAAGGAGCCCGCTCTGTAACTTTCCTGTCTCAGAGTTCACAGTCGGTGTGGTTCTGTGAGCCCACACAGAGCTGTCTTGGTATAGAGAAAGAGTCCATATTTTCTAGACAACTTGTAAATTTGAACCTGCTGCTGAAGAGAGACATAGATGGGAAAGGGAGGGAGAAAAGTTACATTTAAGCAAATCTACGTTTTGGGGAGCCGACATTTCATACCTTTAAGATCCAACTTTTGAGCATCTATCACATGCCAGGCACTGTATCAGGTGCTTTCATGGGTGTTGTTTTCTACTTACAATTATCCTGTGAAGAATGAGAGAGGGATTTCATTGGTGTAAAGACTGGTTTAGAGATTGATCTGCTTATTCCGACAGTAAATGGTTCAGCAGCCCAATCAGCAAAATTCTTTTGTCAGCAAAACTCTTAGGAACCTTTGATAAGAATTTTTAAAAGTTTCCCCCTACTTTGTTTGTTTTTATTTTATTAAAAAAATTTTTATAATGTTTTATTTATTTTTGACAGAGAGAGCATGAGCGGGGGAGGGGCAGAGAGAGAGGGAGACACAGAATCTGAAGCAGGCTCCAGGCTCTCAGCTGTCAGCACAGAGCCCGACATGGGGCTCAAACTCACCGTGAGATCATGACCTGAGCCGAAGTCGGACACAACCGACTGAGCCACCCAGGCGCCCCTACTTTGTTGTGTTTAAATGTTTTAGTTTAACTTTTTAGAATAGAAACTGATTTTAGTTATTTGGGGAAAAATGTAGAAGAATATCAGGACTGGACTAGCCATACATGTTCCCCCAAAGACCCTTGGATTCTAGTCTTCTAGAAACCGTGGTCATCACTTTCCTTCTTTTATCTTTGTATCTGTTCAGCTATTTCCAAGTCCTGTACAGTTTTCCTCTCTAGTGGCTTCCATACCTGTGTTCTCCCTTGTTGCCAATTTATCCTTCTAGTTCTGTTCCTCTTCACCTCATTTTTGGGTTTCTTCAGTCTCTTAACACCCTATTCTGCTTGCAAGTGAAAGACGAAGCATTTATGGTGTGAATAATTCTTTTAAACAGTTTGAAATATATTAGAATTTTGTAGGGACTTCAGAAGTGATTTCTAAGCACTTAAAAAAAAAAAAAATCACCTGTTGCACCAAGCTCACCTGTGACACAGTCCTTGGGGCCCTTGGCATCTTCCCATGATGTAGAGTTATCAAGATAAAACTGAAAAGCAAATTCCCTCTCCTCCCCTGCCCCTTCTATGCTGGGAGTGTTTTGATCTTCCTGTCCCTCTTACTTAGTCCATACATGTTAGAAGATTTGGAGACCCTCTATAGTTTTTGTGTAATAGTAATAGATTTGATTTCTTCCACGGTTTCTGATCCCATTGTTTCCATTTTACTTTATAAAGAAGTATGAGGTAGAAAGAATAGTGGCAGAAGGTGAGAAGACCGTAAATTCTACTTATTTAATTTTTTTTTTCGTAAGTAATCTCCCCAGTGTGGGGCTCAGACTCATGACCCTGAGATCAAGAGTCCCATGCCCTTTTGACTGAGCCAGCCAGGTGCCCCGAGACTGTAAATTCTCAACTGAGCTCTGTCAATAGCTTGTTCTGTGACCTTTGACCAGCCAGGGCTCTTCTATGGGCCACTCCACTCCAGCTGTGTGAAGCGTAGGGTTGGCTTCCATGATTTCTCAGCTTCCTTGCACGGTTCCCAAGTGTTTGGCGGTACTGCCCAAGAGGCTCTCAGTCAGCCAGCCAGGCCCACTCCCTTCCACTTCTGAACCCTTGTCTAGGTGTGCTTTTGCTTGCCTGGCATCAGTAAGGAGGAAAGTTGCCAGTGCTTAGGTTCTTTCTCAAAGACGCTGATTATAAGATACTTGACTCTAAGTTGCCACACCACAAAAGAGAATAGTTTTCAAATTGGGATACAGCTGTTTTGAAGGAGAATGAAATAGCCGAAGCAATCACTGATTGAGATTTGTACATTTGTGCAGTTGGGATTATGCATCAGGGGCTGCTGCTGGGAGGTTGTTCTCGCTGTGAAAGACTTGGGAAACTGTTTTTGCAAAAACGTGCAACAGAAGCAAGCCCAGTTGTTTTTCCGGTTAGTGCCCAAATGGCAATAAATAAAACCGTCTAAAAGGCAAAGTCTACTTATGTTTTATGCACTTAGTATTTTATCAGAAAAGCCTATGTGGTTAATAAGGCTGATGAAAGGAAAATGTGATTATTAGTTTGTAGTGCTAAATAAATGTTGCCAGTTTTTATGGGACATTTTATGTGGTATTGAGCACACATTGGTGCTTTACAGTGAGTATTAAATGTG